GGCCCGGCGGGCCACGGTGGCTGCGGGCGGCGGAGGGCCACGTGGAGCTTCCTGGTTCATCCGGGCGCGGCAGCGGACGCGTCCGGCGCCGTTCGGACGTGTTCGGCGCGGAGGAGGAGGGTGGAGCTAGGGTTTTGACGCGAATTTCAGGGGAGATAGTCTATTTATAGGTAGGGAGAGCTAGGAGAGTCCAAATAAGGTGCGGTTTTCGCCCACACGGTCGTGATCCAACGACGAAGAGCATGGGGGGTTTAGATGGGTTAGTGGGCTGTTGTGGAGGGGTGCTGGGCTGCAAAGAAAGAGGGGTTATTGCGGCATCAAACGGCCTTCAAATGGAACGAAATTTGACAAGCGGCCTACCGGTGGTGTACCAAGGCCACTCGACAAATCTCTGCCCATTCCGAGAACATTTTTCTCCCGCTCATGAAACGAGATCTGAGGGGTGCAACGGGTGCATGTGGGAGTGTTGGATTCCGAAACGGACAACGGGGAAAATGATCGGATGCATGAGACGAACACGAATGCAAATGAGATGCACATGATGACATGAGATGAAACGCATGACATGAACAAAATGCAAAACGAAGACAAAACCCAACCACGAAGGATATAACATATAGCTTAGCCGGACATGACAAGAGTTGGAGTTACAATTATGGAATGTTACATCCGGGGCGTTACACTTATTTTTGCCGGTCAGGAATAGTTAATTAATCTCAGATTAATTAACGAGTTGCTTATGGAAGTGCTACTGTTCGAGACGTTGGATCGTGGGCTTTTCGCGAACTCGGTCATGGGCCTGAGCCCAGGCCCATCTACCCGACGTCCTATATAAGAAGGCGCTGGCCAGTGGAGTGAACCCTAACTCAGTTTACTCACTCCTCTCGCACAACCCTAGCCGTCATCTACTGTTTCTCTCTCTATGCTGTTTCCGGCGATCCCATCCCGATGATCGTGTGCATGGTTGGTCGGAAGAGCAGGTGCCTCCAGAACCCTGCCATTCGAGATCCTGCCTGGGAGAACGGCAATAAGGTTTTTGGGGAGCGTCTCGACGGGATTGCTCCCGATTCGTCGCCTTCTCCGTCCGCCTCTAAGATGGGATTGCTTTCACTACTTCCCCTACATCGACACCATGGTCGAAGATGTCGACGCTAAGAAGAAGGCCACGAACGACGCCGAGGCCGCCGCCGCCGCCGCCGCATTGGCCTGGCCAACTGGAAGGTATGATCTGTTCATCCCTCATTTATTCGTACATGTGCTTGCCGTATTTATACTGTTCATAGATGTTTCGATTCTATATACTGTACATGCTCACATGCTTAGGGATTGGTATAAGATACATACCGTATTTACCATGTTTACTGCTTACCCGTGAATTAGATTAGTCGGAAAAGTGCTAATATTTCCATCAAAGCGCAGTAGAAAACTGATGTCATGTTTGTATGAGACACTTCGCGTGAGTTTGCATGTGGCCGAGAAAGAAAGAAAAATGGCAGTATTTTATTGGTTGGATGGATTTGGCATCCGAGCAAGAAGAGGGCGCTTAGTTCTATCTCTTTCACCAATTTTTTTTAGAGATATCTTTCACCAATTTGGCAGCTCATGCCACAGTAGTGGGTACCAAACTTCAGGAGCCATTTCTGCATTCGTCACTAGCATTTGGCAACACGTTTATGGATGACTTGAGAATCTTGTTGTTATGTGCTAAAGCGAGTCACCGCTGTGCCCTTGCACGTCATTTTAACCGTCTCATCTATCACATGCCAAGTGTAGTATTTAGAGCAACTTCAACGGATCGACTCAAACAGATGATGATTTCGACCGCTTTTTGTCCGTTTATATCGGTCACCCGCCCGGCGTCCGTTATGTTTTTGATATGAGTTGGCAACGCGCCCAACCCGTCAACTCATATGTGCCAGCGTGGCCGGCTGGCTGTCCAATTTTACATTATTTGCATTCAACATATTGTCAAATGAAAATGTTAACAAGCCAAATAGTATGGCCGTCCAAATAAATAGTATAATTTTACAAGTCAAATACAAATAAAAATGTTTCACATAGTTTTGCAAACGAATAAAAGAAGATACATCTATTGGTTGCCAACATGAGCCCATATATGCTCAACCAAATCATTTTACAGTTGCATGTAAGTTTCCTAGTCACGCATGTCTTCATGAAATTGAGTGAACTGCTCAAATGTTGCCGCTACTCCATGCTCAGGCACAACATTCTCACCCTGAAACTGAAAGCCTTGATCGTACAAACGTTTCGGGCGTTCGTCTTCTACGATTATATTGTGCATGATCACACAAGCAGTCATCACCTCCCACAGTTTCTGCGTGCTCCAAGTATTAGCAGGATACCGAACGATGCCCCGTCGAGATTGCAAAACACCAAAGGCACGCTCGACATCCTTTCTAGCACTCTCTTGCTCTTGGGCAAAACTTTTCCTTTTCTCTACGACAGGGTTGGGTATTGTCTTGACAATAGTGGTCCACTGATGATAGATACCGTCACCCAGATAGTACCCTTTGTCGTAGTTGTGGCCGTCGACAGTAAAGTTCACCGGTGGGCTGTTGCCTTCTGCAAGCCTAGCAAACACCGGCAAGCACTGAAGCACGTTGATATCATTGTGTGATCCAGCCATGCCAAAGAAAGTGTGCCAGATCCAGAGATCTTGAGACGCCACGACCTCTAGTATGACAGTGCAAGCCCTGACATGTCCCTTATACTGCCCTTGCCAAGCAGAAAGGCAGTTCTTCCACTCCCAGTGCATGTAGTCTATGCTGCCAAGCATCCCCGGGAAGCCCCTGCTGGCATTCATCGCCAACAAACGGGTTGTATCTTCAGCTATCGGCTCTCTCAAGTACTCAGGGCCAAACACAGCAATAACAGCCTTGCAGAACTTATACAGGGACTCTAGGCATGTAGACTCGCTCATACGGACATACTCGTCAATGAGATCACCGGGCACTCCGTATGCAAGCATTCAGATGGCGACAGTGCATTTCTGATAAGAGGAGAAACCAATCTTGCCGATGGCATCCTCTTTGCACTCGAAGTAGTCATCATAGCCGACCACTCCCTCTCTAATACGGCTAAAAACATGCCTACTCATACGGAACCGGCGGCGGAATTTCTGATGTTTGAACAACGGGTTTGTTGTATCAAAGTAGTCCTTCCAGAGAAGGAAATGCCCACTCTCTCGGTTGCGATTCAATGCCGGAAGGTGGCCCGGAATGGAGCCATGGAATAACGACCGCTGGTTGTTGAGGTGGTGATGGACCAACACGACAGCCAATATCTTCTCCTCCTCGTTGGACGACGAATCGTCAGAGTCGCAAAGGAAATTGTGGAAAAAGAACTCGTCGGCGGAGTCCATTTCGTACCTTGACAAACTGTCGAACAACTTGCGGGCGTCGACGTTGGAGACGGCCGGCGAAGGGAGTCGCGGCGCCCACAAACAAGCTAGCTGCCCTGCCGGCGTCCGACGAGTGTGACGGCGTCCGATGAGCGTGTCGGTCGGATGTGGCAGGGGCGGCGAGGCGACTTCTTGGTCGTGGGCGGCTGTGCGGTGGGGGAAGCGGTGGTGGAAAGTAGTTTGCTCCCCGGCGGCAAAACGATGGCAGAGGGCGACGGGGGGAGGGGCGGCGTTGCTGGACGGATGTGGAGACGGCAGCAGCTGGAAGAGTCGCCGGAAAAAATAGACGGTGGCGTCGGCGACGGAGGAGGCGGGAGGGTTGCTTGTTGGCCGCAGGGTGAGACGAGAGGTCAATGTGCCACAGACCAGCAGGCCCGGGAAGAGGAGTAGACGAGCGCGCGTGTCCGTCGCATGTCCGCGCCAACGTAAATCTGACTTAAAAATAAGCCGGGAATGGGTCGCCCGCGGACGAAAAACGGACACGCGTTCGTTTGGATCAATGCGTTGGGCCGCCTTTTGTGTTCGCGCCGATCCAAACGGGTGACCGCAAACGAAATAGATGGCCCCATTAAAGTTGCTCTTAGGCGCTGGTATAGTGTTGAAACATATCTCACAGGTGAGGATGCGCCGCGCCGGTCGCAACAGCAGTACGTACTCTCTCCATTCCAAAATATAGTGCGTCCGCGCTTCTTGAAGTCCAACTTTAACCATATATTTAACCAACGAGACCAACTGCGGCGGAAGAAAAAAATATATAATTAAAAACTTTTTTCGAATACGAATTCACTGATATAATTTTTGCTTCCACCGCAATCGGTCTTGGTAATTAAATTTACGGTCAAAATTGAAGCACGTGAATAGAAAAAACACTACATTGTGAAATTGAGGGAGTACATACTTACCGTGCATCACCCACGAAAAGATGATTATGATAATAATATCAGTACCTGCTCGAAGCTCGGACAGCCGCTCGTTCCGATTACATATAGCGAGTCACTGATCTTACTGGACGGTTCGCTACTGACTGCCTACTGGCAACATTCACGCCTGCGCTTCCGTCTCGTGACTTGCCTTCCCCTGCCGCTGCGGCTGCGAGCTTCGGGGCGCCATGGCGCAAACCTCACCTATTCCCCGCGTCAGCCTCGGCACCCAAGGACTGGAGGTGATCTTCCCCTTGCCCTCTCGCAACCCTCGATTTATTTATGTATCTTCTGCCCGGCCGGTCTCGCACTGAATCGAATCGAATCGAATCGAATGATCCAACAACCAAGGTGTCCAAGCTGGGGTTCGGGTGCATGGGCCTCACAGGCTCCTACAACTCCCCGGTCGAGGACGACGCCGGCGTCGCCGTCATCACGCACGCCTTCAACCGCGGCGTCACCTTCTTCGACACCTCCGACGTCTACGGGCCCCACGCCAACGAGATCCTCCTCGGCAAGGTTGTTTCTCTTTCTTCCGCCTTCCCTTCCTTCCTTTCCTTTGCCTGCCAAAAAAGAGACTAAGTGTGGAGAGATTGGCCGTCCCAGGCGCTGAAGCAGCTGCCGCGGGAGCAGGTGCAGGTGGCCACCAAGTTTGGGATTCAGCGGGATGCCCAGGGCAAGAGCACCATCTGCGGCCGCCCGGAGTACGTGCGCGCCTGCTGCGAGGCCAGCCTGCACCGCCTCGGCGTCCACCACATCGACCTCTACTACCAGCACCGCATCGACACCACCATCCCCATCGAGGACACGGTCGGTCTCTTCTCACCGCCACCTCTTTCTTCCTGTTAATTTCATACAATTTTTTTAGAAAAAGGAGGAGTTAATTTCATACTACATGAGAATCCCTGTGTTTGTGTTTGATTGGTGTGATTCCTTGCTCTGATTACTGGGCTGAATTTATTTGCTCTAGATTGGTGAGCTCAAGAAGCTTGTGGAGGAGGGGAAGGTCAAGTACATTGGGTTATCGGAGGCGAGCCCGGACACCATCAGGCGTGCTCACGCCGTGCACCCCATCTCCGCCGTGCAGATGGAGTGGTCTCTGTGGGCTCGCGACATCGAGCCCGAGATCGTGCCTCTCTGCAGGTGAATTTCGGCATTTCAAACTCTAACTCAGTGTGCTTCCATGATCGATCGTCCTGATTGATTGACCATGTGTTGTATGGACCTCAGAGAGCTAGGGATTGGAATTGTTCCCTACAGCCCGATTGCTCGTGGGTTTTTCGGTGGAAGGGGAGTGACACAACAAGTGTCTGCTGAATCTAGTCTGGTACTGATACAACCAACCTAATTGGTTTCTGCACTAGCCATTTCTTTTTAGTTAATATATATTTAGGCCTGAACCCCTTTCTCTGTATAATTGTTTTTTTAGAAAGGCCATCCACGTTTTTCGGCTGAAAACCTGGAGAAGAACAAGCAACTTTATCTGAAAATAGAAGAACTGGCCAAGAAGCACCAGTGCAGCCCTGCTCAGCTAGCTTTATCTTGGGTTCTGCATCAAGGGGATGATGTGGTTCCGATACCAGGTTTAATGCCATGTCCTTCTCATTTCATTGATGTCACATAGTGTTAAACACGTGCAATGATTTCTTGGAGTTATAAATCCACATAATAGGTAAAAAAACTGAAGATCGTCTTGCTTGCATGTGCTTTCTGATAGAAGTGAAATGTGTGGTTTAAGAAATCATAGTGAAGTATACGAGATACAGAGAGATATTCCAGCTGCAATCTAGCTATCTTTGGCAGACAAACATAGAATTTCATGGTAATATGAATACCATCTTTGAAATCTGATCTTTTGCTCTACAGTTTGTGCCATGGTGTTAATTTTGAACTGGCATTAAGCTGAACTGTGAAACATTTTGATGCCTCGGAACAATGGCCTAATTTATCCACAAAAGGACCTCTTTCGCTGCTTCCAAGTTGCAAACAAGTACATCAATGGCGAAGATCATTTTTCCAGTAGACTAGCATTGTATCACTGACAAATATGCTGTACAATTTCTCAGGGACTACTAAGATAAAGAATCTAGACTCCAACATTGACTCCTTGAAGGTGAGGCTCACGGAAGATGACCTCAAAGAGATCAGCAACGAGATACGCGAAGAAGATGTTGCGGGTGGAAGGCAATATACTTCATTTGCGAAATTCACCTGGAATTATGCGGATACGCCAAAGAAGTGAAACTACAAAAGATCATGGAGACGGTGAAACAAGCATGCCATGCTATGTGCTAGTGTGATGAATGGTGCTCCCTGTATCTTCATCCTGTGAATTGTCCCGCTCTGAATAAGAACATGTGCACTGTCTCCACCTGCCGTGTAGATTTATGTGTGCTTGTATAACAGAAGACTGAGACCGTGCTTGCTATGTTTGTGGCTCTCTAGTCTTACCGGCTTTCCGTGACAGTAATTACACCGTTGGAAAATGTATCTGCTCAAAGAGATATTCAGAAGCATATCAAGCCGTTTCAAATAAATAAAAAAAAAACAAGGAAAACACTCCTATCTAAGCGGGGAGCAGATGAACCACGTGTTCTAGCAAGTCACGAATGCAACACGCTCCATAGATCCCCTGCACCGCTTGCTGCACGCTGCAGCTGAACCTGAGATGATCCAGCCGCTGCCATGAAGGGACACTAAGGCCGACGATTGCAACCATCTTCGCAAATCCAGTTCAGCAAGAGATTGAGGCCTCGATGGAAATTATCCACAATTTTGGCGAGGCGACGGGACTTAGAAATAATCTGTACAAATCGACGGCCACACCTATCCCCTGACCGGACATAAATTTAGAGGAGGTTCTGCAGAGCTTTGGAGGACAGATGATAACTTTCCCTATAACACCATGGTTTACCGATCGCTCAATTTAGACATGGGATTCAAGACGAGATCAAATGGAACTTAACTGCAAGTGGCAGTACACTGCAGGCTCTGCATATCGGGCTCAATTCCAAGGCACGTGCAAAATGACATTTTATTTGAGACAAGGCAGATCATCAGCGTTTCCTATTTAGCGCTGCAGGCGCCCGTTTGTGTGCATCTCGCAAACTGGCGCCTGCAGCGCCCCGTGTTGGCCGGCCCATGTAGGGGGTGCCCGAGGTCTCTATTAACATGTTTTTAGAACACAAAAAGGTAACAAGCGACCACTTGGTTGCGAGGGTAGCGCTTGGACCACCAGGCTACCCCATCACGTGTGTACAAATATGCATGTGGGACACGCATCCCGATTTGATCCCCACGGTCCAGCGTGTATGGGAGGCGAACGGTCCTAATCTAACGGCTGCCGAAGTCCGAGCTAATCTACAATCCCTCTCCAATAACTTGGGCGAGTGGAGCAAGTCTACTTTTGGGAGTGTAAAATCAGAAATAAGGAGGTTGAAGAAAGACTTAGAGCGGCTTAGGAGTGATCTAGCAAGGTCTGCTCCTAGTCACGTTGAGATCAAAACAAACGATCAATCGAGCTTTATCTTCAGGAAGAAATAATGTGGCGCCAACGGTCTCGGGTGGCATGGCTGTCGGAGGGGGATAGGAACACACACTTTTTCCATCTCCGAGCTTCAAATAGGCGCCGCAAGAACTTGATAAAAGCTTTGGAGAAGCAAGATGGGCAGCTCACGGAGGAGTTGACAGAAATGCAGCAGATGGCCCTTGATTTCTATAAAACTTTATACACCTCGGAGGGTGTGGAGGGTTTAGAGGATGTGCTGCAACATGTCCCCTCCAAGGTGACAGCTGCGATGAATGAAATGCTAATGGCGCCATACAAGGAGGATGAAGTCAAAAAGGCACTTTTTTAGATGTTCCCGACCAAGGCTCCAGGACCGGACGGGTTCCCGGCGCACTTCTTCCAGAGGCACTGGGATATCTGTGGAGTGGCGGTGACTCGAGCTGTACTGAGCATAGTCCGAGGGGACGAAAGCCCCGAGTGTGTAAATGACACTGTTTTGGTATTAAATCCGACTCTTCTATCTCAATTTCGACCGATCAGCTTATGCAATGTCTTTTACAAGATAGCCTCAAAGGTTCTAGCTAATCGTTTGAAGATAATACTACCTGATGTTATTTCTGAAGAGCAATCAGCTTTTGTGTCGGGCCGGCTTATTACCGATAACATAATCTCAGCGTATGAGTGTTTACACTTTATGAAGAGGAATAAGTCCAAGACCAATAACTACTGTGCTCTCAAGCTTGATATGATGAAGGCGTATGATCGAGTGGAGTGGAATTACTTGGAAGCTATCATGAGGAAACTGGGCTTTGCAGAACCATGGGTCTCCATTGTAATGAACATGGTCAGAACAGTTTCTTTCTCAGTTATGTTTAATGGGTGCAAATCAGAAGAATTTACACCATCCAGAGGTATTCGTCAGGGAGACCCCATCTCTCCATACCTTTTCCTGCTGGTAGCAGAGGGCCTTTCGTGCCTGTTAAAATCTCAGATTGTATCATCCCAGCTCAGCGGCATTAAGGTGGCTCCATCGGCTCCGTCGGTGAACCATCTTTTATTTGCGGATGATAGCCTGTTGTTTTTCAAGGCGAGTCTTGATGGAGTAGAAGAAGTGTCACACCTTTTGGATATTTACTGTATGGCCTCGGGACAACGGATAAATAAGGAAAAATCATCTATTTTCTTTAGCAAAGGATGCCCACAGATTGTTAGAGATGCATATAAGGGTTGTCTCCAGGTTCCTAATGAGTCTTTAACTGACAGATATCTTGGCATGCCCACTGATGTTGGACATGCAAAAAGGGGCACCTTCAAACACTTGAGCGAAAGGGTGTGGGACAAGGTGAAAGAATGGATGGGCAAGTGCCTATCAGCTGGGGGTAAGGAGGTACTAATCAAGTCGGTTGCACAAGCTATTCCGGTGTATTCCATGTCATGTTTTAAGCTCCCCAGAGGCCTCTGTGAACATATAAATTCTATCATCAGCAAGTTCTGGTGGGGCTGCAAGGATGGGCAAAGGAAACCGGCTTGGGTATCATGGGAGGTAATGACAAGGCCAAAATACTTGGGAGGTATGGGTTTCAAAGACCTTGAGCCTTTTAATCTGGCACTGTTAGCTAGACAGGCGTGGAGGGTGCTGCATGATCCTACATCGTTGAGCCCCAGGATCCTCAAAGCGTCTTACTACCCAAATACGGAGTTCCTCACGGCAGAGTTGGGCTCACGCCCTTCTCAGATTTGACGAGCTATACTGGAGGGGCGAGACATCCTTAAGCAGGGCATAATCCGGAGGATTGGCAACGGTCAGACCACGAGCATATGGGATCACAACTGGATACCCAAGGAGGGGTCATTACGGCCAATTGTATCTCAGGTCCAAGACCCACCACAGTTGGTTTCGGAGCTGCTTCTTCCAGCAACGGGTTCGTGGAACGACAATCTCGTCCGAACTGTGTTCTTGCCAACTGACGCAGAGGCGATTCTGCGGATTCCTGTATGCACGAGCAATATTGAGGATTTTTGGGCATGGCACCCGGAGAAGAAGGGAATCTTTACGGTGATCTCGGCCTACAAGTTTATGATCAACACAAAAATCTCTCGGGAAAACTATTTTGAAGGGAGAAGTGGGTCCTCAAGCAATGATAGAGAAGAGTGGGACTGGTCCTTTCTTTGGTCCATGATGGTGCCTTCGAAGGTCAGAATTTTTCTATGACGTCTAGCCCGTCATTCTCTCCCAACGACGGACATCTTGAACAAAAGGAATATGGCAACACGGGACGAATGTCCGCTGTGCGGGTCTCCTGATTCATGGAGGCACGCCCTTGTGTCATGCACGCCGGCCCGCTGCACTTGGGCTTTATCTGAACCGGGCTTGGTGGCACACATGGCGGTGATCGAGGAGCCCAGCGCCAAGAATTGGCTGTTTAGGATGCATGACGATCTTGATCAGCAGTCTTAATAGAATGGCTGTGACGTTGTGGGCGATTTGGTACGCCAGAAGGAAGGCAATCCATGAAGGCATCTTTCAATCTCCACTACATACTAATTCGTTTGTCAACTCGTACATCAATGAGTTGCAGCAATTGGAGAAGCCTAAGGAGAGGCAAGTGCAGGCAGCAGTACCGCAAGGAGGAGCTAATTGGCGTCCATCACCGTTGGGTGTTATGAAGATCAATGTAGATGGGGCTGTTGGGCGTCACAGACGAGGCGGGGCTGCTTCAGCGGTGTGTC